AGGGAGATAACTACTACTGATAATTATTGTCATGTCTGAAATGGTGTTATCCCACCAAAGGCCGATCAAGTCATATGGACCCGTGAAACAAATGGAATTGGAAACAAATGCAGGTACGTAGAAAATCTCAATGTCTGTTTCTGACTAGATTATATCTATTTTTAGCCTAATGAAACAGGCTTGTTGTGACAAAACAGACACTGAGAAGTACAAAACTCACAAAAAACTGGACATATTTTCTGTCTATATTCATTAAAACATGCAAAACCATGAATTCTCATTATAACTGTTATCAAATGTTAGCTGTGATCATGCACAACTATAATTTTATTCACATTTCCACGCTGAATGTGTACATTAGGCAGTCTGCAAACATTGCCACAATCAAATCAGAAGCATGTGTCAAGTATTATTTGTCTAGTTAAGGCTTATTTAAAAGCCTAAAAGGTTGATATGTCAAAAGTTGTTACTGACTGACAACAATGCAAGGACAGATTGAGGCTAGTTAGACTTAGACTCAAGCACATTTGTCAGACATATAAAGCAGAAACTACCACACACTCCATACTTGTCATCAAAGTAGAATGTAGCTACCTTATGTTGTTGATTACATTGCCATTACCAGTCAGTGCCAATGAACTTCTGGCTTCCCTTGTCGGAGTGTCCACCTTTGTCATCTTATTAGTTTTGAAGTTTACAAGTACAAATTGCTGTCAGCTTCCAAGCCTTCTTTCACCTGATGAAGGAGCAAGGATATACTCCAAAACATTGTGTTCCTCATAGTACTGAAGTTGACAGCCATAAATTTGAACCTTTTTCACTTCCAAATGCCACTTAAAGACTTGAGTGTAGTGTAGTTTTAATGAGTCCAAATAATGAGGTTGATAATCACACTATAGTCCGTTCGGCTCAAAAACGGACCAATGAAGCAACCTAACTTGAAAAATAATAAACACATAATCCTCAATGAAACGCTGATCATAATCAAAACATCAGACCAACTCTGTGATTTATTTGCAGAATTTATGTCCTAAAAATAAAAAAAATAAGTTGTTTAACAAACTATTATTAAAATTTTGACACAGTTCACTATTTGTTACGAAGGAGGAGTTACAATATAGGCAGTTACAATAATTTGTTATGAGGTCCGTGGACAAACATTTGTAAATGTTTTCATCTTCTCGTACCATTGATTTTGAAATTCATGGATTCCGTCGTGTTTGGTGCCGGCTGTTCTGGTGTACAAGTAGTGAGTTCATTTCATTATTATACCAATGACATCAAGGAGAGATGACATGATCACCATAAACAAAACTATGAACTCAATTTTTGCGAGTCTACATAGGATACAACATCTCATAAACAAATCAAGTCATGTTTTAGGACATATTAGTAACACTGATGACTGTTCAGTAAAACCTATTCAGTGCTTCATAACACATATCAAAGAATGAGTCATATGAACATACAATACTGTTAAAAGTGTTGTTGGTAATTGTGGCCTTGGTGCTTCAGACAGGTCCTCTTCATAAGGCTTATTTATTCCTTTAAGGATATATATTTCTGAATAATGACTGCTGGTGGACTGGAAATTCAATCAAATTACAAAGACATCTCACAATATATTTTCATTATTCGCAAGTCTTTCTGATTGTTTCATCATAAACAGTGTTTTTTCAACTTGTTTTGCGGTTTTCTTACCCGAGTATTGTATACAAAAGGATTGCCATTGTTGGTTGATAGCCTGAGCCCACCCATTCCTAATCAGCTGGGTCACCTGTACCCCAAAAAACCACAATGAAAATTTAAATGAATTTAAAGTTTGTTATTATGAAATGATAATGTAAATTCTGGAAAATATCTTTAGTACTGCCAATCACCAAAAGTCTCAGCTATTTGGCATTGATTCATCAGATTTTCAGTGACGACATCGTTTGTTTTGTGTTTCACATAACAAGAGTGTAAACTCCAACAGTGTAAACTTCTTGCTAGACTTCCAAACACTTTGCAGTTACTGTGATAAAATGATTACATCATAAAAAATATTACACCAGGGCCAACTCATTTCCATTTATTGTTTTATTGTTGTTTCCATTTATTGTTTCATTGTTGTTTAAAAACAAGGCCAGTGAACAACAGCTGAGACCACTGGTTGCTGTGTTTGAACTGCTTGTGTCTGATACTGAATGTGTTGGTTTCTTGTCTAAGGAATAATCCCAATCAACATATTGAGCGAAATTTTAACTGAATATTTGAAATGTATAATGAATGATTGCATGGGTTTACACTGAACTGAAAGGGCTCTGAATGTACAAATGTGTCAAAACAGTGCTTTGAATTAATGGCACCCATATGTACGCTAGAATATGTCCATTTAATGCAGTAAATACAATATAAACATATAATTCTGTTGTTTTCACAGTCTATGTTTTGTGTGTACTTTGAGTAAGGGTGGTCCAAATGTGTGTCCGAGTTAGTGAAATAAAGTATGAATATTCCAAATCATGTTTGAATTTTGGTGGGTATGAATTTTTAAGGATATGAATAATTTAGTATCAATACTATGCACTGTTTTTTTGTTTACATTCTGGGGGAAAAAAAACATATTTTCTTGTATTATTATCATCAACATTTCATTATTTTAGTTCTGTCCACACCCCTTTTAACCCATTAACCCCCTTGCACTCCAGTAGGGTGCAGATTTTCAAAGTTACCCTAAATAATTACTTATAAATACTTTTTGACAGATGTTGCTGAGCTTCTAGATAGATAATGGTATTCAATAATGTAGTAGTTTGTTTGGGAGTTATTCCCTTTGAGTTGGTGTTTGGAGCATTGGCCATGGCCACGTGTGAAAGACCAAAATGGCGGTGGTGTTGAGACGTTCAGCATTCATTCAGTGTATTATAAAAATAGGCCCCTCTGTCTGACATTAACTAACTTGACAAATGATACCATAATGATGGGTTACTAAGTTCCTGTTGTTCATAATTATAACCTCACTTTTAGGACACATAGAAAACTGAAATTTAGTGTATCAGCATTTTCAGTATAAATAATAAGCATGGATTGGGATAGAGAACTTTGACAATGGGCCATTTTCAGGAATATTAGCTATTTTCTGAATTTAGAATGGGCCACTGCCCTTGTATCAATAGTAAACTTCAAACTTTTAATGGGCCATTTTTTATTCTAATGTGCAAAATGGCCCATGGCCCCTGCCTTTCCCAATCCCTGAATAAGTTTCATTATCATTATCAAAGTCTGGCAGAAAATTCCATCACTAATGAAGTTTCCCTTTGAAGTTATCCGTTTCCTTCTTTGCACAATAAAGTAATGGCTGCACCGTTCTGCATGGCTAAATGTCATTCCATCGCTAATATGCTACAACTTACAAGTATTGTTCAGCAACAAGGGAAATTTGTATGTTGAAATTTTGTATGCTCAACATATAATGAAACATTTTGAAATACTACCATCAAATTTAGAGATAGACAAAGTAAACTATTTTTAACACACTTACTATGTCATGCAGTACCACAATTGCAATATGAGTTTTTAGCCAATACACATTCCTACTGTACACCATTCTCATTTGTATTTAATAGGGCAACATTTTTTATTTCTGTATCTCTCATTGCCCGAATGTAATTTGGCTGTCGCCCTAAGAAGAACAACAGTTTCTATATTTCCGCTGACTCAAATTCAGAACCTACCAACTACTCATTCAACTGCATATTTCCTGTGTCAGTGCTGGGATGAAGGCTGTAGGTTTAGTACAAGTGAAAATTGACAAGAAGGCTACGTGCTAGGTGTTAATATTCTTCTTTCTTTACATTATATTTATTAATATACTATCATATATTAAAGATTGACAAAACGTTTTAATGACCAATGTGTCTAACTTTGTGACAGTAACATCTCATGCAATCTATTTTCATGCATTTTGTACTGCTTTGCTGTTCTCTGCTGCTTTTGCTTGAAGTTCAATCCTTGTTATGGATTCAAATTTGACAAATTTTGTTGCATATATGTTTAAATTCCTGACTGTCAAAGAAATCAGAAGAGGTGTTTTCTTATTTTCCAAGTGGAGGTGTCCCATTGCCACTCCAAAAAAGGCCAAATAAGGCAGAATCAAAATTGCAGATGTTTTTTTTTTTCTGATGTAGAAAGACGTCTTGAACGACTCAAGATTTATTATTCTTAGCATCCTTTACACGTTCCATTAGTTTTATCATTAAAAGGTGCAAGATAACTAATTTGATTTTTTTCCCTTGTAACTCTGTGATTTGTTGTATGTGCGACTCCCATTGTTGAGTTAAGATTGATATACATTATGAAAGACTAGTTAGCATACAAACTAAATTTTGTTTGAATGGTTGTAACGATATTTGCTAGAATTGCCAATTTGCCTGAGCCTTGTCCTCTGGGACATCAACATGGCTAGATGATACAGTTTGATTGATTAGTTTTTTCTACTTGCACAATTCTCTTCCACTGGATACTGACAAAGGAAATAAAATAAATGGATACAAAGATGCCACCCATGATGTTGATATTGCTGTTAGCCTTGTAAGATCCACGAAACGGGCACCGACCCAGGATCTGTTTACCCTGGTTACTTTACAGGGTAAAACAATCCTCTCAGTAATTAACCTCAGCGCTGCGAGTATGGCCCACTGTTGATTGCATTAGATGGTCAGAATGTTCAATTATACATCGGTCATGAGCGGTAACTTACCATAGCGTTAGATTCGGGCGAATGTGATGAATAAATAATGTTATGGCACCTCTTGTTTACACCGTCACGCACAGGCCGCCATTACGAGTCATAGTTTCTATGGTTACAGACTTCCAAGAAGTGAATACAAATAAGGATCTTAAAATAATCAGCATAATTGTGATTATTCTGCATAAGTGTAGACTAGAATAGATACCATGAAAAGTTTAGTTTTTTTGTTGCAAACTTATAAATATAAGGTATAATCATATGTGACGTCACTTCCGTGTATGGCGACGTCGACGAGGGAACATTTCAAGGTTGTGTCCATTAATATTTTAGAAAATATCTCATATTTGCAGATCATTATTTTATCTTTGTGTCATCCCATAACACTAAACAACCATTTACCATATTGCTACACTAATTGCTTTCAACATTTCCGCTTCATTTCTGAGCCTTTTCCAACAATAAATCCAATGTCCGTTCATGAGAAAGAGTTCCGAAAAGCATACCAACTTCCTCAAATTATTTTTTGTCGTTCAAACACTTCATTGCTTCCTTTCTGAAGTCTCTGTGGTTTTGTTCAATGTCAGCGTACAATATTTTAGCCTGGTACTTTTCTACAGCATGACATAGTAAACTATAAGATAGCTGACCTAGATTGTCGATATTTCAGCTGAATGAAGGCGTAGGTAATACAGTGCAATATTGGTGTTGATCTGAGTACATCATGGTTGCCAAAAGTGCTAAAAACTCTGTGGATCAAACAGGGTAGAAGTGTACAAATCTCCTGTTGTATATTGAAAAATATGTCATTTTGTAAGTAACTTTTAATACAAATTTGTGCACACCAGAATATTGATACATGATGACTGGAGGCTTGAACAGTTGCCAACTGGATTTTCGACAGTCACGACAAGCTGATTTGACAGGCTGATTACAACGTAGAATTAATCCACACCTTTGGGGCGGTGGGGTAGCCCAGTGGTTAAAGCGTTGGCTCGTCACGCCGAAGACCCGGGTTCGAATCCCCACATGGGTACAATTTGTGAAGCCCATTTCTGGTGTTCCCTGCCGTGATGTTGCTGGAATATTGCTAAAAGCGGCGTAAAACCAAACTCAGTCCGTCAGTAATCCACACCTTTAGAAATAACAATGTAACAACATTTTCCTTTGGTCATGTTTTCAATTGGTGGTCTAAGTTGTTTGGGTGATGAGGATAAATGCGGGAAGATATGATTTATTCAACAAATGAAAAAAACAACGCTTCCAACTTTGTCGATTCATGAGTTCCCCTTGTTGGATCTTACACATGGTTTTCCATTGTTAGCGCTGGAGTGATTCATTAGTCTGGAAAGAAGGAAGAATTATTGTTAAAAAGAATACTACTTGTGGAATGTCATGTGAAACAGAGTCAACATGGTCAAGACTGCAGTTACACAAGCCACAATTTGAATAGATTCTATATACTTACAAACAAATATTACTGTCTGAAATTGCTAATTAAAAATTTTTTGAAGTGGCAGTTAACTTATCTCCTCAATCTATCATTCACTCACTCTCACTTGGGAATACTGACCATGCTATAATCCCTGATAATGGACCAAACTGATTTATTTGAATATGAGTATTATCAATCAGTTAACTGTTATAACTCTAGTGCTGTTGTTCTCCACAGGTGTCTGTCATCCTTGAATGATTAGCCTGCTTGTGGAAACAACTAAGTGAGAATCTGCACCATGGAGGATGGGCAGGTGTCCCAGCCTCACTCTGATCATGGCTACAGCTGTGGAGACCCTTCCTCAACTGCATCCCCACAGATCAAGATGCCTTTTCTGGAGAAGCTGCTACAGCTGCGAGAAAAGCAGTTGTACTGTGACCTGGTGATTGAAGTAAAAGCAGTCAAGTTTTACTGCCACCGGGCTGTAGTAGCTTCCTGGAGCCCCTATATACACAGCATGCTCAACATGAAGAACATCGAGAGAGAGGTCATCAAGATCAATTTCAACAATGTCAATGTCTTCGCTGCAGTGCTGGACTACATGTACACTACTGCCCTTGACCTCCGAGAAGTAAATTTGATCCAAGTGTTGCATTTGGCAACCAGTTTCCAGGTCCAGCCACTGCGGGATATGTGCGAGGGATCACTGCGCTGCAACCTTCATGTTGGCAATATCATCAGTACGTTCCAATTGGCACGCAAGTTCCAGCTCTCTGGCTTGGAGGACTACTCTCTGACCTATCTTCAGATGCATCTACCTGAAGCCGTTAAACAGAATGATTTCCTTAATCTAAGTGCTGTGCGCTTCAACACTTTCTTGTCAAGTGGGTATGTGATAAACTTGAAGCCAGAGGTGAAACTGTTCCTCATTATCAGCTGGCTTGGCTATGATGTGAAAGAGAGGGAACAGTATTTTGTGGTGCTACTTGGTCACATAGATTGGTCCACTGTAGCAAATGACTTCCTAATGGAGATAAGTCAAACTGAGAACTTCTTCACCACCAACGAGTCCAGTTTGTACCTCCTTCTTCAGACACTCCACAGCTCTGGGATATCGTTGGGACCATACACCAATGCCTTCAGTGACCTCCGTAGCAAGTACTCCTACCTCCTGTCCCAAGTTGTACAGAGCAGTATTTGGAAGACAGCACCTGAAGTGTTCTCTCCGGTGACTGTGTGTCTGGTACCCCAGCAGCAGGGGGCACGGCCAAAACCTGTCAATGCAGGCCTCTCAAATGTGGCTGTGCAGACAGATAATGACTCTGGTCCTAAGCTGCAGCAGCAGGTGAATAGTCAAATGCTTTATGTCACAGATATGTCAGAGGAGGACAGGCACTTGGTGCTGAAGTCAGAGGAAGGATCTGTACCTGAAGCTATTCAGCAGACATCGGCTTTGACAAGATCAAGCAGTGATTTACCGAAACGGAAATCCAGTGGGCGTAAGAGTTCCAAACCAAAGAAAATTCCAAGGACGAAAAAAAGACTGACCAAAGGTTTGAAGAGATCTAGGAGACGAAAAGCATCCTTGAGAGGGCTTGAAGAAGAACCTGATACTGTGACAAGGAGAGAATCTACCAGGGTTCCTAAACCTGTTGTGTATGATGAGTTTGATAATGGTGATGAAGTTAATGATGATGAGGACAATACAGTGGAAGAGCCAGAAGAATTGCTGGGAGATGATGAAAATGATCCTGACTTCACTGCAAGAGGAAAACAAGATGGGGCTTTGTCTCCCAGTCGTGAATGTGATGGGGAAAATGAAGAAGAGTCCAACTTCCACAAATTAGCTCAGGCACTACATCTGCAGCAACAAGATGATGAAGAAGAGGAGGAGGAAGAAGATGAGGAAGAGGAGAATCATGGATATTCGGGTCAGCAAAGGAAGCGAAAACGAGGACGTCCAAAGAAGGGCACAGAACCTATTAAACCAAAATGTGAAAAGTGTTCTTATATTGGCAAAAATGAACAAGCACTAAGAAATCATATGAGAAGGATTCATGAGGAAGGTTTAGCATTTAAGTGTGCAATGTGCCCTTTTGAGTGTCAGTGGAGCAAGGAATACTATACCCACTGTAAGGAACATTATGGGGAACCGCCCTACCATTGTGACTTTGAAGATTGTAATCAGATATTTGATAAGATCCATCTGCTGTTGAATCACAAGGACAGGCACACCGATGAAAGGAGATGGGCATGTGATCAATGCCCTGCTCGGTTTCGGGCAAGGAACAATCTTACCTCACACAAGCGATCTCACACAGGTTTGATCTAGTTTTCAATATGTTCAGCATGGTCATTAGAGATGTAGCAATACGATGAGGATGCAATATGATACATATCCCTATAATATTGGGATCCAATTTGTATCCAAATACAGTACTCCTATTTTGTAAGTTCATATTCTCACCCTTTCTGCCGGTAAATCACAACCCTGAATCATATGTTTTTAGACAGCAAACATGGGATATTGTAGGGAGAAACATAAACCGGTAAATTTGGGGCACCATGAAGATTTTTCTTTTCAAAGTCAACCAGAAAATCTTTAGAATTACTTTTCATATGTTTTACCCCGTGTTGTATCTCTGAGGTACTAGTACATCGAGGGGCATGTCATGGAGGGTTCAAGGGGTACCCTGTGTAGTATGTGAGGAGTGTGGAAGTAGTACATCGAGGGGCATGGTATGGTAGGTTCAATATGTTCAAGGGGTACCCCGTGTTGTATCTCTGAGGTACTAGTACATTGAGGGGCATGTCATGGAGGGTTCAAGGGGTACCCTGTGTAGTATGTGAGGAGTGTGGAAGTAGTACATCGAGGGGCATGGTATGGTAGGTTCAATATGTTCAAGGGATACCCCGTGTTGTAACTCTGAGGTACTAGTACATCGAGGGGCATGTCATGGAGGGTTCAAGGGGTACCCCATGTTGTAACTCTGAGGTAGTAGTACATCGAGGGGCATGGTATGGAGAGTTCAAGGGGTACCCCGTGTTATATCTCTGAGGCAGTAGTCCATCGAGGGGCATGGTATGGAGGGTTCAAGGGGTACCCGTGTTGTATCTCTGAGGCAGTAGTACATCAAGGGGCATGGTATGGAGGGTTCAAGGGGGTACCCTTGTATCTCTGAGGTAGTAGTAGTACATCATGAGGGCATGGTATGGAGGGTTCAAGGGGTACCCGTAGTACATCGAGGGGCATGGTATGGTAGGTTCAATATGTTCAAGGGGTACCCCGTGTTGTATCTCTGAGGTACTAGTACATTGAGGGGCATGTCATGGAGGGTTCAAGGGGTACCCTGTGTAGTATGTGAGGAGTGTGGAAGTAGTACATCGAGGGGCATGGTATGGTAGGTTCAATATGTTCAAGGGATACCCCGTGTTGTAACTCTGAGGTACTAGTACATCGAGGGGCATGTCATGGAGGGTTCAAGGGGTACCCCATGTTGTAACTCTGAGGTAGTAGTACATCGAGGGGCATGGTATGGAGAGTTCAAGGGGTACCCCGTGTTATATCTCTGAGGCAGTAGTCCATCGAGGGGCATGGTATGGAGGGTTCAAGGGGTACCCCGTGTTGTATCTCTGAGGCAGTAGTACATCAAGGGGCATGGTATGGAGGGTTCAAGGGGTACCCCATGTTGTATCTCTGAGGTAGTAGTACATCGCGGGGCATGGTATGGAGGGTTCAAGGGGTACCCCGTGTTGTATCTCTGAGGCAGTAGTACATCGAGGGGCATGGTATGGAGGGTTCAAGGGGTACCCCATGTTGTATCTCTGAGGTAGTAGTACATCGCGGGGCATGGTATGGAGGGTTCAAGGGGTACCCTGTGTTGTATCTCTGAGGTAGTAGTACATCGAGGGGCATGGTATGGAGGGTTCAAGGGGTACCCCATGTTGTATGTCTGAGGTAGTAGTACATTGAGGGGGGGGGGGGTGTTCAAGGGATACCCCGTGTTGTATGTCTTAGGTAGTAGTACATCGCGGGGCATGGTATGGAGGGTTCAAGGGGTACCCCATGTTGTATGTCTTAGGCAGTAGTACATTGAGGGGGGTGTGTGTGTGTGTGTGTGTGTGTGTGTGTGTTCAAGGGATACCCCGTGTTGTATCTCTGAGGTAGTAGTATATGGAGGGGCATGGTATGGGATCACTCCATGTGGATGTGGTCTATACATTGTAAATTATGTACAGGATGTCTTCAGAAGTAAGTCTAGTTCATATTGGTGCTCATTGCTCCCATCGTGTCCGTAATTACCCTACACCATGTACATACAGTACTGGTACCAACATGACCAAGTGCTTACTTACTACTGTAACATGAACTTCAGTGTGGGTTGTAGCTACATTTATGACCCCATCGGATGAGCCAGGGTCATCAGGCTAAGGTTGCATTCTGGTTTCTGACTGGAAAGTATTTTGACTGTTTAGCACAGTCAAGCTGCCATCATGGCTACTAAACACAAAGGTGAGGTGAAATTGGGTTTAACGTTGTACTTGAGAATATTTCGCTCATATGACGACGTACTAAACACAAAGAACAATGGCGATAGTGTTTATATATGAAAGTTAATCAGTGTTTATACATTCTTCTTCCAGAACATTCTGTATGTACTCTTTGTTTTTTATAATATTGCATTTCATCCTTTATGTAGGTGAGAAGCCATTTGAGTGTAACATCTGTCATCGAAGCTTCGCCACAAAGAATACAATGAACCAGCATAAAGTGACACACAGCGATGACCGCCCATACTTGTGTGACACGTGTGGCTTTGCTACGAAGTACCAGTCTCACCTCATAGCACATCGGCGGATACACTCAGGTACTGAACTAGCTTAGATTTGTGTATTTGTGGCTGTGTCACATAATCCAAGATATTCCCCTGCTATCACACAGATATACTCATCTGATATTTCTCTTATTAATACACTCTCAAGATGTATCTTCTATTAATGTGTTAAAAGATGTAAAACTGTACAAGAATATATCCTGAATGAAAATTGCATGATGATGACCATGATTCTGATGGTGCCATGTACATTATTTCCCATGCTTATCCTTCAAATTCTTGGCATGCTATACTAATAGATTATAGAGTAACATCTATCTAGTCTCTGAAACGAACAGGTTTTACAGTTGCTAGGTTGTCTCAATAAAACTTTGTTCAATTTCTGAAACTGTGGTAATCTAGACTTGCCAACTGTTATAGAATAGCATGGGGTGTATTGGATATCTTGTTTCAGTGTCTGTAAGGTAGACTAAGACTAAGCTTGTTTTGTACAACTGGACCCAGGAACTCAACTCCACTCTGAAACATTAAATCAAATTTGCATATCCCTTGGCCAACAGCAGTAAATAGGCACCTTATGGTATGAGTCGTGGGAGTGTTAACTTGATATATCAGTAGGGGTTGTATAATCCCAGGGGGCTGAATTAAATTGAAGTGTGTTGGCATAGGTAGTATAGTTGTACTGTACCACATTGTTATTTGCTCTGAGAAAATGTTTCATTTACATTTGGCAAAACAGTCGTGATCTTATCCCGTGATTTTTTATGTTCTATAATTGGTCATTTGGTGTTTGAATGTTTATGTGGACCAACGATTGCGATATTTGTGTAGTTCTAACCCATACATGCACTTGTTCTAAAAAGGTGAGGTGAGGTGAAATTGGGTTTTACGTCGTACTTGAGAATATTTTGCTCATATGACGATGTGCATGCGTGTGTATGTGTATGAGCAGCTGCTCGTACTAGCCCAGACTGAAGCTGGTTTTATAGTGCTAGCCCACTGAGATACTATGCTGCAGTAAAGCATGAATACCCCACTCAGACACATTATACTGACTCCGAGCCGACCAGTCCTTGTTGTACCCATTAATGCCGAGCGCCAGGCTGGGACCAACAAGTACCATTTTTTAACGTCTTTTGGTATGACGAGGTCGGGGATCGAACCCGCGACCTTCCGCTCTCCGGGCGGACGCTCTAACCACTACACCACAGAGGCAGTCCTGTTCTGAAAAGTGCCCCACACTTATACCATGTGTACATATTTTTAGAGGCTCACTGATTGTTGGTTTTTACACAACTTATGGCATGTGTTCTTGCTTCAGGTGATGTTTACCACTGTCACTTCCCCCAGTGTACCTATGTTACCCCCAAAAGAAGTCAGCTGAAAGCACACATGCGTTCACATCTCGGCATTAGGCGACATGTCTGTCCGACTTGCGGCAAGGCATTCGTGGAAAAAAGTCATCTAGTAAGACATGAGAGAATCCACCTTGACCAAAAGCCATTCAAGTGTAATGAATGTGACTATAATTCTGCCAGGATTGACAAACTGAAAGATCATATTCTCCGACACCATGGGTCAAACAGCCCAGAAAAGTCCAAGTACCCAACTGTGCGGCGACCTCGTAAACCAAAATCCAGTGCCTGGCCTGTGAACGTTGTGCCTCTTCCTCATCCCCCACTTGCAGACCAAACAGAGGATCCTGCAAACCCCATGAAACAGAATCCTCAGCCCCTTGTGTTGTCAGAACATGGTTATGTGAGAATGACTGCTCCAACTGAAGATGGTTCCCAAGTCCAACATGGACGACATCCGGGTCCAGTGCTGGACATTCCACCAGGTCTGAGTAGTCAGCAGCAAAGTATGACAGCACATGTCCACCAGCAGGCAGCCATGTTACACCCACCTCCCCCCTCCAAGTGGCCAGCACCCCCCAGCTATATCCTCTCAGTCTCCGGCCCCACCTCACATGCAGGTTCTTCCCACTATAGAATCTGTGTCAGGTGCACCAATGACATCCTATGTTGTACCAAGCACCTCCTCTGTACTTGTCTCATCACATCAGCATCAGCAGCACCCTCATCAACATCAACAACACCAGCATCAACAACAACATCAGCAGCAGCAGCAACAACAACAACCTGACTATGGAGGTCTAGGAGCTTTCATGGCTCTCTTCTGATCATGATGTTCATGGGACTTTCTTCCAGCTACAGGACACAAGACAGGAGATTGTCTAGAGCTTCCTCAAGCTGTTGTTCATACATTGTTAGGGTTAGGGTGGCAGGTATCTTTTCTTGTTGACAATGGTTACCATGTTTATTATGCCTTGGCCCACCATGACTGATGAGCATTTGAATGGAATGGGGTTTTTTTTTTACATGAAATTACTGAAAGGGCAAGGGTATTGAGATGCAATTTGTTACATTGGGTTGTTTTTTTCCAAAACATTATTCATGTACCTTTATATGTTTTTAACTTCATGTTATCTGGGACCAGCATTCAGTTGATAGGTGTAGATCATGATTATTACAGATGAGGTACTGGCAATGCTAGATCATACCTTCCTTATGCAAAGTTCATACCACATGCATACACCTATATTTGCTTCTTTTACATATGTAGACAAGCAAACAGACCAATATTACTTTGAGCAGAGAAAAGGAGGAAACAGTTTTTGATCATATTCATACTGTTGTTAGCTGATGGATGTTATAGCGCAAACATATCATGTTAAATGAACTAATATCTGTGAAGTACATTAGATAAAATATTACTGTTATTATTACTGTCCTGAGGAGAATCAAGCTTCCAGTTATCATCTATCACTTCAAATGACACCGGACTGAAATACTGTCCCAGTTTTTCTCTGCTGTCAACAATCATAAGAACCATTCCACAACTGGATATATAGTTCATCCTTTTAAATGTTGACAACTTGATCATTCTGCAAAGTGGTTCAGGAAACGGAGGATTAATCTCTGTGTCTGAATGAACTTTCAGTTTTGCATTATGATTGGAACAATGTCAAAATTGTGCTTGACACTATGAATAAGGTGTATAGTAATGCTGAGGTGGCAAATAGTTATGTTGTATGAAGATACTTGACTTGGGTAGTCAGGCGCGCTAGTACGCATAATCCGTTGGGGGAATTCTCCAAAATTGCACATGGTGACAATCAAATGGGAATTGACAAATGAAATGTGGTCTGTATTATTCTAGGATTAATAGTGAGGAATCGTGATCATTCTTATTTTTACAAACATTAAATCTACGGCATGTAATATTTTGGAGTGATTGATGGCAACAGGTCTGTTGTAGTGTATACCTACAAATCATGTATAATTGTATATTTGCAAATAGCAAAACAATAAACAAACTCATAAAGATGTTGGTTAAATCATTCTTTTACACAACTTGGACTCATGCTCAGACAATGAACTACGTGGGTGCCTTCACAAAGATTATGATTCCAATGTCTTGACATCATTGAAACAAGAGCACTGTGGTTGAAGGTGGATATAGTCATTAATGTGATCAGCCTTGTACCTCCACAGATTCTATTTACGGTAATGGCACAGATTGACCACCTAAAGTGCTCATGTAGTAAATCTAACATCCATTTTTATACAGTAATTTACAACACAGGTCATCCACATATGTACAGAAAACTGTTTGGAAAATGAGAGACCACTTCAGATGCATGATTTCACACGAGTATTTCTTGTGTCCCACACATGTGATGTCATGTGATGTCTGGCAGCATTCACTGTGACCAGCACAGTAGTGTGAGAGCCTGCTCTCACAGTAACTGATCCCAGTCTATCTGACTTGAGAACACCTCCATGTCCAGCCATCGCTCATAGTTGTGCATGAACTCATCACTTAGTTCTACTGATTCTCCCAGTACACTCAGCGTGCATGTATCCACTGGCTTAAAGTCAGGGTCTGTGCCGTTGGTGCCATATCGACGGTTGTTAAAACGATCAACACAAGCTCGCAGTGCACATTCTTCTGCCTGGAAGTCCCATGGTCTGGCATCCATATCTGAACAACAGAAAACCAACATACATTACTGAGTAGGAACAATGGAGAAATTGATAATATGTAGTTTTAATTAACACAGATACGCATCATGGGCCACTTTCACAAAGTGACCTTAGCACCATGACGAAGTACAAACTTATACTGAAACTAACCACAGTCATAGCGCTAAGTTCACTTTGTACATGTAGAACCTGACCCTTTGTAGGAGGAAAAAGAACTAGAAGGTTGAAAGTGCCTGACCTTGTGCTATTGCATTTAGTTGATGTTGATCTACTGCATATCTAAGCGATATTGCAGACATATGACTACAGACACCATGGCTGAGTTTCACCACAAAAACAATAAAAAACTTACCATTTCCATATGCCCAATCATCACCAAGTCGATGTCGGACTTTCTGGTAGATAGCTGACATGGTTTTCATGTTGCTTTTCCTCCACTGTCGTCCCAGGTATTTGGTCTGCATCTTGAGGAGCTTGAGAATATACAGTTGCATCATTGCATGCTTCACCTTCAGAGCTCGCTTCAGAATAGGTGCAGATTTGAACACAACAAGCATCTGAAAGAACACACAAAACCATTATCGTTTATATCCTAATATGATTTTTCCAGATCTGTTATTGGATCCCATCCGATAAAGTTGGATGCCAGACCCAGAACCAGATAAATAAGAATTGACATTACTTCAGCTTAACAAGGATGGGAATCTGGAAAACATACCATTGTACGAGAATGCTTCCACTTTGTGAGCTTGTTTAGGATGCGAAGCAAGTTGATACAGGAAAACAGATTCCTCCAACAGTATGGCTGACTGTCTCCATTCTCCTACAACAGATATATTCATGTATTCAAAGAATCACATCTCACTGTCACAGCAGTTTCACATAGTCACCTTTACCCTGTTACAGACAGCAAGTGCACAGTCATCATTCCCTGGTTACAGACATACACCCACAGCATCTTCAGTCACTATTCCCTAGTTACAGACATACACCCACAGCATCTTCAGTCACTATTCCCCTGTTACAGACATACACCCACAGCATCTTCAGTCACTATTCCCCTGTTACAGACATACACCCACACAGCATCTTCAGTCACTATTCCCCTGTTACAGACAAAACACCCATAGCATCTTCAGTCACTATTCCCGTGACAGACAAACATCCACAGTATCTTCAGTCACTATTCTCCTGTTACAGACATACACCCACAACATCTTCAGTCACTATTCTCCTATTACAGACATACACCCACAGCATCTTCAGTCACTATTCCCTGTTACAGACAAACACCCACAGCATCTTCAGTCACTATTCCCCTATTACAGACATACACCCACAGCATCTTCAGTCACTATTCCCCTGTTACAGACATACACCCACGGCATCTTCAGTCACTATTCCCCTGTTACAGACATACACCCACAGCATCTTCAGTCACTATTCCCCTGTTACAGACATACACCCACAGCATCTTCAGTCACTATTCTCCTGTTACAGACATACACCCACAGCATCTTCAGTCACTATTCTCCTGTTACAGACATACACCCACGGCATCTTCAGTCACTATTCTCCTGTTACAGACATACACCCACAGCATCTTCAGTCACTATTCCCCTGTTACAGACATACACCCACAGCATCTTCAGTCACTATTCTCCTGTTACAGACAAACACCCACAGCATCTTCAGTCACTATTCCTCTGTTACAGACATACACCCACGGCATCTTCAGTCACTATTCTCCTGTTACAGACAAACACCCACAGCATCTTCAGTCACTATTCCCCTGTTACAGACAAACACCCACAGCATCTTCAGTCACTATTCCCCTGTTACAGACATACACCCACAGCATCTTCAGTCACTATTCTCCTGTTACAGACATACACCCACAGCATCTTCAGTCACTATTCTCCTGTTACAGACATACACCCACAGCATCTTCAGTCACTATTCCCCTGTTACAGACATACACCCACAGCATCTTCAGTCACTATTCCCCTGTTACAGACAAACACCCACAGCATCTTCAGTCACTATTCCCCTGTTACAGACATACACCCACGGCATCTTCAGTCACTATTCTCCTGTTACAGACAAACACCCACAGCATCTTCAGTCACTATTCTGTCAGACATACACCCACAGCATCTTCTCACTTACAGACATACACCCACAGCATCTTCAGTCACTATCCCCTGTTACAGACAAACACCCACAGCATCTTCAGTCACTATTCCCCTGTTACAGACATACACCCACGTCATCTTCAGTCACTATTCCCCTGTTACAGACATACACCCACGGCATCTTCAGTCACTATTCCCCTGTTACAGACATACACCCACAGCATCTTCAGTCACTATTCCCCTGTTACAGACATACACCCACAGCATCTTCAGTCACTATTCCCCTGTTACAGACATACACCCACAACATCTTCAGTCACTATCCCCTATTACAGACATACACCCACAGCATCTTCAGTCACTATTCCCCTGTTACAGACATACACCCACGGCATCTTCAGTCACCATTCTCCTGTTACAGACAAACACCCACAGCATCTTCAGTCACTATTCCCCTCTTACAGACATACACCCACGGCATCTTAAGTCACTATTCCCCTGTTACAAACATACACCCACGGCATCTTCAGTCACTATTCCCCTGTTACAGACATACACCCACGGCATCTTCAGTCACTATTCCCCTGTTACAGACATACACCCACGGCATCTTCAGTCACTATTCCCCTGTTACAGACATACACCCACGGCATCTTCAGTCACCATTCTCCTGTTACAGACACAGACACGGGAAGTTGCAAAATTACAAATCACTGTAACTGATATACCATTTCGTTATCTCAAACAACAACTTTCATAAATCACACAACACATATTCCAAATTTAGTGACCAAAACTGTGAGACAAGTTCATCAAGGCACAGCATACCTGGGTATACAAACAGTCATCCAAACAAACACATGCAGGTGATGTGGCAAACACCAGATGGGAGTACAAGAAACATAGCTGCATGCAGACTGATGACCACTGTCTGGCCATGTCACTGTCAGATCAGGTTGTAGTCAAACATCCATGCATTACTATATACACCTCTGTTTTGGAGGAGGTGCAACCAGGCAAGTATGTTACTTATAAAGCAGCATGATGAAACCAGTCACAATGACATACCAGTTGGCTTTTACATTGCCTTAACAAACTAGGGCTTTAGACCACCCCAAATAGCTAATTTCAAAGGACCCTGAAAACTATAAAATAGTGTACTGTACATCAAAACTGTATATAAAGGGAACTATATTTCTTGTCAAGATGTTCATAAAATTATTATTGTGCTTCACTTGAGACACCATATATATTTTCTGGCCATTCCATACATTTATGCGCACTGTTTAAACGTTTCTTTGTTGTGATAAACCCTGTACCAAAAGCAAAGGTACAGATAAGCTGCGTATCTGCGTAAATTACACAAATATTTATGTGAAAACTCAATTCCTATTAAGTCTATTGCATACACGTACGCTTGAATTTTGGTAAATATTCAATAAATGTGGTCTTACATGCGTACACACGAAAATGTCAAATCTTAGCTTGCGTACCGGTGGATAGATAAAATATCTGAGGTATAGTACTGAGAGATTCTATTTCAGGACATGAACTTGACAACTTGCAGTCTTTCTTATTGTTTCTCATATTACAGATCAAATATAAATAACAAACACTAACATTTAAACTTATTATATTTTTAAAATTAATGGAAAATGGCAAAATACCCAATTGAGTGTGAGTGAGGTGGATACAATGTTTTTGGTTACTCAAAGAAAAATTAGGATACCCAATTGAGATGAACACAAGCGAGTACATAACTCAATGACCCAAAACGTTATCTGTAGCTCTGCAAAAAGGGTGAAGCTCCACTACATAGGAACACATCAAGGCCATTCTCATCCCCATGCCCCAACAAGGGCGGTAGCTTCAGTCACTGCAACCCATTAAGTACAGTATAAGCTAGTTACTAGACGGTAATTCAAAGCGACATAAGGTCATCGATTGGAATGATTATTCTGGATTGCCAAAACTACCTTACTAACAAAATGAGGTGAAACTAATGTGACCTACACCATTACCATCACTGCAGGAACCTATGTGACCCATGAATATCATTCATGTTACTTGGTAATTATGTACAATCCATCCATAATAACCAAAGACATGAACCGGAATGGGAATCAATCCCATGCAAGGAACCAGCTTTGAATCTCAGTTGTACATCAGAAACATTGCTGACATGTATTGTACATCTCTCTACACCAGTGTGGTATCTATAACACTGTAGGTTGCTTGTACAGTAAGGTTAGTACCACACTGTCATGCTATGGAAAGGAAAAGTGTAGTTAATAACATGGATCATGTATCTGTTGATGACAATGTCACTTTGTTATGTCAGGAACATTGGTACGACTTTACAGATGAAAACTGGTCACTAGTGTCATCACTATCCCACTTCATTATTGAAATTTTACATATATTATTCATGAAAGAAAAGGATCGGGCACAAGTTATCTAACATGGAAAAAGCCCTTTCCCATCTCAACAATAATAATGTCAATAACAGTCATCTCTACGGCAACTGATCTATGACAACAACATACATAATGGTCATCTGCAATAACTGATCTGATCACAAAGCAACACAGGTATGGGTCATTACCACGGCAACTGATCTGATGAAGAGCAAAACAGGCAATAATCATCACAACAGCATTTAATCTGATGACAGTGGCAACACAGACATGCAAGATCAGTCAGCATGGTCAAAATGGGCACAGGGGTGAGAGGGAGAAGCACAAAGTAAGCACCCTGTCTCCCTGTCTGTGTTTGTGTGTGCTTCAGCAGTTGAGCCTTTATCATGTTATCATGAGGAACTACAGTAACTTACAACGTTATTTACACAACTGTCTGCTATGTAAGTTTCAAATTTCAGGAGATCATATGATAATAATTACATGTCAAAGCCAGCTATATGCCAGCAAGAAGACATATACAGAAGCAAGTCTGGACCAGGCAAAGCAGTGGATGAGAGCAGTCCATTAGCTAACAACACAATCTGCTACGCCACATGTTGTAAGCTGTCCACACCACAGTTTCCTCAGCAGTTTTTGTCATCCTAATCTTGGTGCTAGAATTTGGACATCTTCATTTGCCAAATTCATTGTGTTTTGAGGTCAATAAATTGAAATTTTGTGCAATACCTAAACCTATACCTATACTACAGCCATGGAACATGGTCCAGAAGTATGACTTCCCAAAGAGCTTGCCAGTCAATGTAAACACGCCCATCAAGATATTTTTCTTATATTGTGTATCTCAATAATTAGCTTGTTTATTTTCCCATTACAAGCAAGGGAACCAATATATCTGGATACAGTGGATTTGTACTGGTTAAGCTGCAATATATCAGTTCTCTTTTTATTCAAGCACATGGCCAATTTCAGTGTGTGTTATTCACAAAAAGCCTGTGGTATGTGTTATGCTGTCATGGTCAGGATTGATGGATGGATGAATGTTTACAGTGACAATGAAAGACAGAGCAAGGAAGAGAGACATGAGGGAAGAATGCATGCTCACCTGCGCCTCCTCGGACGTGAACTACAAGGGAGGTGAATCACACATTGTCAAACAACTCTCCACAATACAGGTAACACAGGGCTACATATGTCAGCCAGGTCCAGTTGCCATATTGGGGGTCACTGTTAGACAGCAGTCATCTGTCTTACGGGGGTAACAAGGGGATTAAACACTGTGAAACATGATGCTTTGACTAGATGTTGGGGTGTGTCTCATTCAGTGTGAAGATGTGCAGTTAGTAATTGTTGTTAGTTTAACAGTGTGACTACGCATGCTGAAGGCAGACCTCAAAGTACTCTTCCTCCTTTCAATGTTAAATCGTAACTACGCTAGAAAACTTGCCAGCCTTGATTACCCAGTGTATCATATCTCCATTGGACATATTTTCTACTAAATATCAGTCCAATCAGATTAATCTTGATTAATTATTGCAACAAGTAGCAATATGAACAATGACCAACCTTGATTTATACCAACTGAATACATTGGGAAACGTCTCACAGACATCACTCACCTCTAATTACACAGAAAATCATCCAGCAACAAAAGTAGGTTCAACACTCTTCTGATTTGATGTAAAACCCTTATTTAAGGGCTCAATGACTAAAGGCTGTTATTTTGAAATGAAGCTGGTACAGAAAAATCCTTTTATTGCTTGCTGATTTCAAGCAGAGAGGTGAGAGAAAATCTGTGCTACATTACTGACAAAAGACATGGAGATGGTGATGACAGTTCCAAATACAAAGTTCTAGCAACAAATGGTTGAGTTAATTCAACATACCAGATAGGAGATATCATACACTAGCTGATCTAGGATGGCCCCTGGTGGGCTATATTACCATACTACAGTTAAGTCTCCTAACTTCCACAACTGGTCTTGGCAGGGTGATGCTGGACCCAAGACTGGACCATATATAGGCATATTTGTTTGAATTTCAAAATGTTCCAGGAGGTTTGACTGCTATGTATTTCTGTTATTTCTAATCTCCTTATTTTAAGAGAAAATGTTAGCATGGAGCCACCTACATAACTTTCCACTATGATCAAGGTACCAGAGTTCCTTATGTAGCTCCTGTATCATTGCTGTTCATGGTTATTGCAATGACTCTCAGCATGAACTCAATAACAGTACCAGTCCATGGGATGGACTTCCTGGTATATGAAGGTATTATGTCAACAGTACTGGCATGAGCAGAGTATGATTCCATGAGTACATCAGTGCAATATGTCCGACCCACCAAGATATGTGTCCTTGGTCACACATCTACTACCTACTGCGAAACAAAAACTATATCATGGCAACCAGTGTTCTGTTGAAACTTAATACTTGAGCGAAATCAAAGATGACTTGTTAAAACAAATACAAGAAAGACAGAAAGGAAAACCAAAGAAGCTTATTGTCTGTGTGGGAATTACAGTCAGTAGGTGGAGGTTGTACAAGGGGCAACAGCTACTCACTATGTTCTCTGCTGTCAGTTCCGGCTGGTCTCCGATCACACAGTTGGGGAAGTCCAAGGCAGGTATGCTACAGCACAAAGAAACATGGTAAACAATTTGGCAAATATACTAAAGTTTGATCTTAATACACTCTTGACTCATCTAAATTTCTGAATAATCACTGCCCCAACACACAATGTTGCTCCTGCAACACCCTGTTATCTATACATTCTCGAACTGTTTTGGACAACTAAAGTTTGATTGACGAGATACTTGGGGAAGTGCCCGACTCACCTATTTTTGGCACTGACATAAGACAGGATGTTCTGGTTAAAGAACTTCAGCACAAGTGGAATACAGTTGGCAAACACCAGATGCTGACTCATGAACTCAAACTGAAACAAAAGAGGGCACATTCACTTGTGTAAAAACCCACAATGATAAAGAAGATGCTGATTTTGTGAAGAGTTGGATATACAAGACATTACAGTTGATGATGAGAATGTAGTAGTTATAAATGATATACAGTATATGACAGCAGAATACCTGACATACATCTGATGACGAGGAGACATTGTTTACTGGCGGTATACATGATACCCAGGTCCACAAATCCATGGGTTCCATCTCAAAGTAACAAGCATTGTGCATGACCATAACTTACCTGGTACACATGGTTGAGTTTGAAGTGTTTGAGCAGCAGAAGAAGAAGTCCTGAGATGGCCTTGACTATGATTTCCTTGTGTCGGTTTACATCAATACCCAGCTTCATGGACTGCAACACTGTAGTCCTGCAAGACAGCGCCAGCTTTGTACTCAACACACAACCAGTAGCAGCCATCACATCACATGGACATGGCTAATGTGCAACAATCACCTTCACTGTACACAATGTACACAATGTACACATACTGACTAAAGTCACCGCAACAAGTGACTGGTGGGAATACAGTGTGACTGTGACAGACTGCTATTACCCTGTCACCAGTGGTTAGCCGAGGCACAAGAACTTGGGCAAGAACAAGTTATATATGATTTTCTCCTAAAGTTGAAATTTTAAACACAAACAGAAAACAAACATAATGGACACATCCACAAGTGTGCAGCACTCTCCAGGTGGGCCTGTGCCTTCTCCAGTCTAATTAGGCTCTTTCTCATCACTGCTGAGTAAACACGTGGTTTTAGAGGGACAATTTTTCAATTCCTCTGGTGTCTTCTTTATGTTTGAATTTACAAGGTAATGTTCACCAATCAGGAAGGAGGAAATGGTTCAAATGTTACACAAGTTTGAAGAGTATTTCAGTTACTTGACAGCCTGTCAACTCAAACAACCACTGAAAAAACAAGATCATAATCAGGGCTAATTTCAAGCCACTAACGTAGGATTCCAGCTGTTCGAAGGACACAATCTTACATCCAAACTCACAGGGTTTGATTGTGAAATAATCCCATCATCCACTAGACCCATACTATCAGCACCATGTGTCCATCATGGGCTACACTACTCACGGCATCTCCTCCGGCAACACATCAGCCAGGATGTTGATTGACTCGGTCTTGGCCTTCGATGTAGGAGCTGCAGCAAGCAGTAACTTCAGAAGGGCTATCTGAGGACAGGAAAAACATTGTCAGTATGTCTGTAGAACATTTGTGTTTGTATGCAACACACATGATGACAGTACAGCCACTCACCATGTACTGAGGTAGATTAGGTAGCATGGCTTGATATAAGATCTCAGCACCGCCTGAGGTTACCTCGGACTCGGGCTGAAACAGACCAACATGACATGTTTGACTACTGTACCAATGACATATTCATCTATCCTGATGAAACAATTGACATAACAGGAAACAAATTTGGTTACCATGGCAATTTGACGACTACATTATGGTCAAGAATTAGAAAAATATACAGAAATCAAGGTAAAACTACAGCATGAGCTCACCAACCTATTAAGTGCTCATGAATCATGACTTTTACAGCTGTATTTTTCAGTGGTGTGAAGACTTTAGTTGGTCGTCTTTCCAAATGTAAACGTAACCCTACATTATGACTTGGCTCAGAAAATTTAATTTGGCTCCTTCACAAAAATATGTCAGTGGGCCCAAGTTGGCTCCTTCCTAGAAAGATTTCTTTGACATTTGCGTAAGAATTGTTGCTACTGTCAGACCTACCTTTGACAAAGGATTTTTGGCAATCTCCTCTTCACGTTTGATTTGGATTTCAGACAAAGATATATACAAATGCTGCAAGAACAATGAAAGGAATACATTTTAAAAAGAGTTCATAAACAAAATTTGATAATAATGTAATTTTTAGAGTAAAATTGATATTTTATACTTATCCTGACTCATGCTCTTTTTGCTTGTCTTCTTCTTCTTGCGAACATAGTGGAACACTTGTATCTCCCTAATTGAAGCTCCCTTCAATGTAAAATCACTAATTAGTACTCAGCACGAGTTACCTCCCTTCCACAAGCTCGGGAATGAGGGCGCCACCTCCACCCATGTGCCTCACTCTCTCCTCATATACTGAGCCCAACATTTGAATTTACAGGGAAATCCAAAGTGTTATGTGGGGAGGATGGGAGGGCTTACCTCATGAGTCAGGATAAGTATAAAATATCAATTTTACTCTAAAAATTACATATTTTTCCTTATCCTGACTCATGCTCTTTTTGCTTGTAGACTCCGACGGAAAGGGAGGTGGGAAAAATATAATACTTTGGATTTTAATAATTAGTGATTTGAACTGTGATGATTGTAATAACCCTATGGGAACTTCATAAAGGTACTGAACTGATGAATTCCTGCTGCTAACTTATCAGCTGCCATATAAAGGTTATTACAAAGTACTTATTATGATAAAGTATATATAACATTAATACAATGCTTAAGACTAATAGACTTAAGCTTGTTAATATGTTAGTATAAACTCCTTAGAGTTTGTTAGCTAAAATACTTTAAGATATAAACATAGTACTAAGCTTAAGATATGATTAAACTTTAGCTAATTATATAATAGCAAAACTCTTTAGAGTTTGTTAGTTAATATACTTATATGATATTGATATAATGCTGAGCTTTAGATATGAATAAGCTTTAGCTACATATATAATAGCAAAACTCTGTAGAGTTTGTTAGCTAATATATTTTTACAATATGAGTATAGTACTGTGCTTAAGATATAATTAACTTAAGCTACATATATAATAGCCAAAACTCTGTAGAGTTTATTAGCTTATAGATTAATAATGTAACCATAGTACTAAGCTTAAGATAAGATTAGACTTAAGCTAAATGTATATAGCAAAAAACTCCTTAGAGTTTATTAACTAATATACTTTTATGTTATAACCATAGTACTGAGCTTAAGATATAATTAAACTTAAGCTATATATATAATAGCAAAACTCCGTGGAGTTTTGTTAGCTAATACATTTTATAATGTAACCATACTGCTTAAGATATGATGAAACTTAAGCTAATTGTATAATAGCAAAAAACCCTTTAGAGTTTGTTAGCTAAAATACTTATATGATATAAACCTAGTATTGAGTTTATGAAGGAAAACTTAAGCTACATATATAATAGCAAAAACTCTGTAGAGTTTGTTAGCTAATATACTTATATGATATAAACATAGTATTGAGCTTTGAAGGAAACTTTAAGCTACATATATAATAGCAAAAACTCCGTAGAGTTTGTTAGCTAATATACTTATATGATATAAACATAGTATTGAGCTTAAGATTTGAAGGAAACTTAAGCTACATATATAATAGCAAAAAAACTCCGTGAGAGTTTGTTAGCTAATACAAGTTATAATGTAACCATAAAGCTTAAATTATGATGAAACTTAAGCCAAATATATAACAGCAAAAACTCTTTTAGAGTTTTGATAGCTAAAATACCTATATGATATAAACATAGTACTGCTTAAGATATGAATAAGCTTAAGTTACATATAGCAAAAACTCCGTGAGTTTGTTAGCTAATACATGTTATAATGTAACCATATTGCTTAAGATATGATGAGACTTAAGCCAAATAGCAAAAACTCTTTAGAGTTTGTTAGCTAATATACTTATATGATATAAACATAGTACTGAGCTTAAGATATGAATAAGCTTAAGCTGCCTATATAAAAGCCCAAACTCTGTAGAGTTTGTTAGCTTATATATTTTTACAATCTGAGTATAGTACTATGCTTAAGATATAATTAAGTTAAGGTAAATATATAATAACCAACTCTGTAGAGTTGTTAACTTATATATTGTATGATGTAATAATCATAGTACTGTGATGATAAAAAGAACTTAAGCAAATTATATATAGCATGTAGCTATTTAGTACTGTTATAAGATAAGTAGAAATCTGTAAGATTGACTTATCTTCTCCGAGGAACTGTCAACTGTAGTGCGAGGACCATGGGATCGAATTGGTGGATACCTGAGACGTCCTCGGTGATGATATCTCTCAGATAATGGTTGGCAACCACCATATCGGATCTCCAGAAAATAAACCCTCCATTATTTCAAATAACATTGTGTAGATCAATGCAGAAGTTAGCGCTCTAATATCATGAGTATTAAAAGCTCATGGAGGGTCGGATTGGGTCCATCCGTCTTGTATGCACGTAGTATGACAGTTCTGATCCAAACGGAGATATAGTACGTGAGATTCCATTCTGCGTAAGTTGATGATAGAGGAAATAATCTGTTGTATTATTCCCTTCTGTTTGGTTCGGTGGAGATAAATTTACAGTGCTCTTGCTGGCCATCGTGATAGAATCATCGTATCATGAAGTCCAAGTATGTCATCCAGGCGTGTTCATAAACCTCACTTGTGAGGTGTTGGAGCACTATATTCAGATCCTCAAGTTGGAGGGTGAAACTTCCGTTTTAATTCTCCAATCAGAAAGTTTAAGTAGGTTTACTAACCATCTAGTTGTGTTAGTAGCTTGATTATGAAATTCAGCTGTAGTCTGAGACGCTGTGGATTTAGATCCACTTGTATCCCGTCGTCTAGGTTATTCGCTCGCCGTCCTTGACGATGTAGGTGCACAACCAGGTGTGTCTGTCCTCGTTGAAGTTTATGTAAAATTGCCTGACTGCCGTGCCTCGTCGTCCTAACTTGACAGGGGAGGTCTCTAACCTGAAGAAAGCAGCCCAATCATGAAGGTTCAGATTAACTGGACTGTAAGGAGGCTTGCTCGTTCACTGAAATATAGTTGTCACTTATAACGTAAGTGTTGACCTGTGAAGTAAGATCGACCTCTGCGTAGGTCGTTGTCCAACGCGGTCCAATCAGAACAAGGCATTTTGATTCTGTAGAATACCCGCTGTGATGTCACCGGTGTAGCAGGAAAAACCTTGTATAAAATCTTGCCGTCGTTGATATTAGCATAATCGTCGGTCTTCACCGTAGCTTCCCGGTTACCCGAAAGTGACCACGTGTTTCGAGGGTTAAAGGTAAACGCCATTGAAACCTCCGGCCAAATACCTCGCTTTGTAATATTAATGCTGGGTAGGTTATTTTCCTGGCTGTCGTGAAAGTAACTTCAGTTTTGAATATAATTCCGACTTTCTTATATAAAGGTACAATAAACTTGCAAGTTGTCAGCTTGTAGACTGTATACATGAATGTATCGTCATAATTGTAGAATTAAAGCTGAACTTGTACATATTTCTTCTCAGAAACTTTGACGATTATGAGTTATACTCGCTGTAACAAGGCTGCTGTTCAATTTCGATATTGAATTGTCTGCAGATCTGCGTAATGGTCACGCATGTAGATACTCGTATCGTAGTCCGGGATTGCATATTCTAGCAATCTATACGGAAAGGTTGATTTCTGTGAAGATCTATGCAACGTCGTTGATTAATTAATATAGCGACGTTTGTGTTGTAAATAGCCTGTGCAATTGTCTTCGCGTAGGCTTATAGACGGCATATGGCATACAGTTGATAGACAACTTATGCGATGTCTTGAACGGACTGACGAGTAGCTATATATGACGAGTGGCTAATATATGGAGACCTTGGAGGAGAATTCCTCGGTGGACGCCGGAGATTTCGCGAAGCTCTCGAAGTATCCAATCTAGATTTCCTGTGTGAGGTAGACTTGGAGCCACTTAGCCTTCGCGACCTTCGCGAAGGTATTGAGTCAGAGCCCGATCAGTATATATATAATATATGAGCGCTTGCTTCGCGAACGACCTCTGTGTTCAACAGGAGTGAGTGAGTGAGTGTATTGTTTTACGCCGCACTCAGCAATATGTGGGGTCGGTGAAGCGCTACTCCTCCGTGACGTCCCTTGTAACTGGTGAGGCTCTAGCTCCTTCGCGGAGGTGGCCTGGGACTTCCTAGGCGAAGTGTCTAGAAATCGATCAATATATGAGCGTTAGCTTCATACAGGGTGTGGTTCTTGCTGGTTCTGCATAAGTAGAGCCGGTAGATCATCCTATCATCTTCAGAAGTCGTCACGAAATCTGGTGATAAGAATCTCATTGATCGTTCTAGATCTATTAATGCCAACAACATACGCCTCTGGCGTTTGAACTGTTATGGCTTTATGGTAGGCTGTGTCCACATACTGTGGCACCGCAGCAATCGAGTCGATTGGAGGTAAGGTGATGGCGTCTGCCTCGTCTTCCTTTATCAGGTATGTCTGCGCCGAGTTGCCACTCTTGGAAGGTGAAGAGAGATCTAGGTTGTTTACCATCCAATATCGTATCTCAGCGTCTGAGAAAATGATGCCTCCATCATTTTCTATCCCAGCATCACTGATGAGAGGTTGATGCTCTTCTGATGGTGGACTGTGTATTTCTATCTCTATGTCGGGTAACGCCCGGGGAGACCTGACTGTAGACTTGTGTGCAGACTTGTGTGGTGACCTGTGAGACGATCGACGTGGTGATGTACGAGGAGATCGGCACGGTTAACGGCGCGGAGATCGTGTTGGTGAACTGCGTCTATGCGTTGACCTTGTTGCTTCGCGAAGCTCTCGTGTAGTCAGGTGTCCTTCGCGAAGGCCTTCGCGAAGGCCTTCGCGAAGCTTCCTCTGCGTCCGGTCCTGGGGAACGGCGATTTGACCTTCGCGAAGGCTTCCGTGAGGTCTGACGGTCTGAGTCCGCATCTAGGGATGAAGCCGAGGAATGTGATGATCTATCCCGCCTTACATCTGTAGGCTGTACATCTGGGTCCTTCGTGGAGGTGGTCTGCGACTTCCTTCGCGAAGGTGGCTTCATCGTGGCTGCTACGCTGATGGGGGTGCCTCTGGGGTGTCGTCTGCGTTGGAACCTTCGCGAAGGCTCTGGCCTTGGGCTGGCTGCTTCCCAGTCTGTGGTGGCCCTCCATCATGATCATGATTTGCCGCAACAGTTCATTTGCGACGAATTAGTCGGTGCCCTCTCTGCAATGTTAGCGGCGGGACCCTCAGGGAAGTCGTCTGACGTCAGTGTAGAGACATCAGGCTGCATGGCGATCTCTGCTGATGTCACTGTAGCTGTCTCGGTCGCTTCTTGTATGCGTCGTCGAAATGATGATCAGCTGATCATCGTAGAGGCCCAGTTCAGCGGCTGGAACAATCTCGGTTGAGAAAGTCCTAGTAGACTTCGTTGATTTCCCCTCAGAGGTCGACGCTGCCCTGGGGGTGCGAAGTCTGCGTTGAGTGTTGGTAGCGACGGGACCCTCAGGAAGATCATAGAATATCAGCGTTGGTACATCAGGCTGCATGTTGATCTGCGCTGACATCACTGTTGCCGACATCGGTCATTCTTTTGATGTACATCAGGTATGATGATCGGCTGATCATCATACAGGCCCAAATCTGCGACGGGAACAATCTCGGCTGAGAAAGTTCAAGTAGACTTCGTTGATTTCCCCTCAGAGGTCGCGTTGAGATGCAGTAGAAAAACTCTAGTCTTCGGCTGCGACGATGGGATGTCTGGGAAGCAGGACACTTCTTGGAGCGGCGACTCACGTCCCACGCCTCTCCACCACTCTAGCGGAACACCAGACGGGGCGGGGTCGACCAACAACAGTAGACTGGCGAGGGTTCAGGTGTATCAGTCATGGCTAGACTCTGCATACGCCGACCTATCTGCTGCGCCGTCTCAAACGCAAAGTAATTATTTATTAAAGGCAGAAATGGATAAATTAGTACCGCGAACTGCAACGTGAATAAAATGAACATGGCGCCAGTACAACTAGGGCATATTAAATGCGATCAGCAGCAGAATAAAAAGCGTAATCTGCAACAGAACAGAATTTTTATCAACGTAATCCACTGAAACAAACCGCAGTCCCCGTGAATAAACAGTAGAAACACGACTAAATATCAATATATAATTGTTGAAGGATACTAGCTAAACCTCTATAGATGTCTATACGAGGTAACTAACTAAATATAATCAAAGGATATAGTGTGTCGGGAGACACAGGTGCTCTCACGTCCAGCTCACTGGGCGAAGAAGGAGAGAGTGAGGCACATGGGTGGAGGTGGCGCCCTCATTCCCGCGCTTGTGGAAGGGAGGTAACTCGTGCTGAGTACTAATTAGTGATTTTACATTGAAGGGAGCTTCAATTAGGGAGATACAAGTGTTCCACTATGTTCGCAAGAAGAAGAAGACAAGCAAAAAGAGCATGAGTCAGGATAAGGAAAAATAATTGTATATTTATATACTTATCCTATCTCACAGTACGCACCTCTCTTCTTCTCTACGACCATGTGTGGAAATGTGCTGTAGGCTAAGTTGAATCAAATCTTACTGGCCTCTGACCCACCCCGACCTCTGACCCCACTCCGACATCAGCACCTGTCAATCATCTCCGTAAGTGTGCAGCTCGCTCAGATGATCATGTTACCACCTGTGCCTGTCATTCTCGTCTTGGAGCTTCTAATAATCTGTGATGTGGGGCAGGTCGGGTGAGTATCCATTGCGTGAGATAGAATAAGTATATAAATATACAATTTATTATAAAATGTACAAATTTTTAAACTTATCCTATCTCATGGTATGCACAATCCCACAGTTGGTAGGAGGGCCGCAGATTACCCCGTCAATACGTACAACCAGGAAGATGCATAACCCCAAGGAGGCCAGGAGAACGCACCAACTCCCGATATGCAGACTCAAAACTTAAGATGGGTTTCTTGTAACCCCTTGGCTTACACAGCACAAAACTCTAGGGAGCGGGCGCTCCTGAATTAATGTGGTTTTCAGCTGCAACTTTTGACAAGCAAAAGGACACGGTTTGGCAAGTAGGCCCCGCCGCCCCGCGATTTATCAGGTGACCCCAGTGAATTAAAGTCGAAGACCTTAATCTGGCCAGTCCCTGCTTCGAAACTAACCCCCACAGACACACGCAGGAAGGCGGTGAAAGAGGGAATAGCCCGGTTGCTCAACTAGTTTAACGATCAGTACCAATCTCCCTAACTTACCAAGGTGAGAAAGGACTTAGGAGCAGAACGCTTCGAACACCATGTAGGTAATTGGAAATCAACACTTTACTGACGTAATTGCTCGGAGAGTAGAGGTCAGTAAGTGGAGTGTCGATCATCTCTGCATGTATCACAAGACTGGCCTCACAGTCTATCAAGTCATAACTTATGACAGTGCAGACACGCCTATTCCCATAGGTGAGAAAATTCTAATCCCAGTGGAAAAAAGTACCAAGACATGGATAACATCGATATCTTTTATTATGTACAGAGCAACACCGACCAAAGAAGGATTGCTTTATCTGCGAACACGGGCCGATGACAATTGCTGCGCCAGGACCAAGCGGCAGAATTGATGTAGACCTTCCACGTCTGTAACCGATAGGTCCCTCAGGTAGTGTGAAGCAAACACCGTATCGGATCTCCAAAAACAGCCCTCCATGATGGACTGCAGGGAACAATTTCTGTGAAGAGCCATGGTGGAGGCAAGAGCTCGAGTCTCATGAGGCTTCGCCATCGACGGTGGAGGTAGGTCAGCAAAGGCATAAGCAAGCAGGATCGTAGTTCCAAAGTAGTACGGGAGACTTCCGAGGTGGAGGCAGTAGACAATGGAATGAACAATCTCTTACGCAGTCTGCGGCAATCCTGTGAGGCAGCTAGGTAAATCCTTAATGCACGCACCGGGCATAAGGACAGATCCTCAGTGTCATCTGGGCCCAAGATAGTGGACAACGGCGAATCGTGAAAGTGCGATCCGGCTGTCCTGGTAACTGATTCTTGGCGAGAAAATCCCATCGCAAACCAAGGAAAACTCTCGCATGTCTAGACCTTTCAAACCGCACCCGAGAAACATCAAGAAATACGGGCAGCTGTAGCCAAGGCCAAGAGAAATAAGGTCTTAAAGGAGACATGTTTGAAATCTTTCTCCTCCAAAGGTTCGTAATCAGCTGAAGTGAGATGAACAAGTACAACGGAAAGATCCCAAGCTGGAGGCCGGAACTTCCGAGATTGGTCAGCCAGTTTGTAGGACCGGAGGAGAGACTGGAGTTCAGGGACAGTGGACACCTTCCCACCCGAGGCCGCTGCAATAACGGTGTTGAGAGCAGCCAGGTAGGTAGATAGTGTAGAACCTTTGAGTTTTCTGGAGGTTCGTAGATGTTGAAGGTACTCTGCCACCATCTGTGGGGAGGCCGTAGTGGGGGATGAGACGCCCTTCTTCCTGCCATATGCTTCAAAATTCTTCCATTTGTCATCGTAGAGTGACCTCGTAGAAGTACGATGCGCTGTAGAAATGGCCGTAGCCACCCGTTTAGAATAGCCCTTCTAGGCGTGCAGATGGAGCGTCAATGGGGACCAATGTAACTGGTCAGAGTGCGGATGTATCAGAAGATCGGGTCGAACGGGCAGTGGTACGGGATCTGGTTCGGCTAGGTCTTGAAGGTTTACGAACCAACTTCTGGCCGGCCAATAGGGCGCGACCAAAAGCAGAGTCATCCTCTGAGTTGCGCGCAGTTTCACTAATATGCGAGGTAGAAGGGCCACTGGCGGAAACGCGTAAGCGTTTAGGTCCTCCCACGGAATGGCTAGAGCATCGAGGTCCCAAGCCAGAGGGTCCGGAATCGGTGACACAAACCGAGGCAGCTGATGGTTGAATCGGGTGGCGAAGATATCTACTGTCGGAGTCGTCAACGGTAGACAAAGGGTCTGGAACACCTGAGGATGTAATCTCCATTCCATTGGAGAGGGACGACTCAGCCGGGACAGAGAATCTGCGATGACATTATTCACCCCCGGGAATGTGGTTGGCTCGGACTAAGATGGTGAGATAGTCCACCAGATCGAAGAGTAGACCCCGTGGACCCCATCCTGTTGATATACCAAACCACCGCTGCGTTGTCCGATCGGATCATGAGGGAAGTTGGTCGTAGGACATCCTGCCAGAGACTGATTGCAAGAATCACCGCCCTGAACTCCAGAACGTTGATGTGACAGGCGCGATCTACGAGAGACCACAGCCCTGCCACTTGTTGATTGAGAAGATGAGCTCCCCACCCGTGTAGAGATGCTTCCACATACAGGTGGTAAGACGGAGCAAACGGCCCTAAGCAAACTCCGTCGCAAATATTCAATTCTTCCATCCACCACAGGAGATGGGGATGGAGCTCCCAGAGGTAGAGTGATCAAGGTAACTGGATCTCCCACTCCGATGTAAGGCGCTAGCAAGAACTGCAAGGGACGAAGTTGTAGTTTACCCCTGAGGGTCAACGCCTGAGCTGACGTCAAGAGGCCCAGGAGCTCCTGCCACTGACGAAGCGTCCTGGGATGCGCCAGTGCCAGAGAGACCAATCGCTGTATCTTGCAGAAACGATCCCTCGGGACAAACAGTTTGTTGACCTCTCTGTCGAACACTGCCCCAATGAATTGAAGACGCACGTAGGGACTAGTTCCGATTTCTGCAGATTGATTAACCAGCCTAATTGGCGAAGAAGCTGTATCGCAAACTGCATGTGACGAAGCAGAAGGGCATGATTGGTCTGCGCCTGAATGCAGTCGTCGATGTAGGCCTCGGACACTATTCCCTTGCGGTGAAGGAAACTGGTGATAGACTTCGTTACCCATGTAAACAGCCACTGGGCCGAAGAAATTCCAAATGGGAGGATACTCCACTGATAGTGGGTGCCCTCGAAGACAAACCGAAGGAACTTGCGATGAGCCGGGAAGATCGGGATGTGCAGGTACGCATCCTGGAGATCCAAACTGATCATGTAGTCTCCCGGCTTGATAATGGTCTTGAGGAGTGCCACCGATTCCATGCGAAAATGGGGCGGAGGCTGCAGAAACCTCTCGTTGAATATCTTCATGTTCAAGATTAACCTCAGTTTGTCCGAATCCTCCTTGGGGACCAGAAAGATTGGAGAATAGAACCCTGGGACGGTCGGCGCCTGACCCAGGGATTCGATCGCAAGTTTCTTGAGTAAGGTGTCTATTGTGGATCGAAGAACAGCCGTCTGCTGAGCGGGATACGTTCTGCAATCCGGAAGTAAAGTGAGAGGAGGATCCCCGATGATTGGCAGCTGAAACCCTGTGGATAACATGGAGAGGACGTAAGGGTCTCCCAAGATGATCCAGTTGGGAGCATAGGTCCCAAGCACGACAAAGGGCACGACTGGAGGTGGAAGAACCCAGTTGCATTCTAATGTCATCGAGTCACTGTCTGTCAGGCCTTTGCGAAGTGGAATGGTCAGCAGTGGAAGCTGGTCGTGAAGCAGAGAACGCCCGACGTTGACGGCTGGACCGTCCTCTGCCAAAGGATCCCTTTCCACAAAAGGAAGCAGTAGAACCAGCACGCAGGTCCGGATTGACAGGAACATAACGGGCTGGTCGTCGTAGACACAACAATTCATCCACCTGCAAATGTTGGAATTCAACAATTCCACTGACACTTGTAAGTGAGCATCTTGACCAACTCTAATCGCCCCGTTAAAAAGAGACCTGCCAGACCACGGCTGCCGAAAGAGATCAGTACGGAACCTATCCTCCCATGAGGATAAGTGCAAAGGCCCCCTGCGACGCATAGCTGTGACATACGAAAAGAAGTGAGCCAACTGATCCAGAAGGCTCCCTAAAATTTCTCTTGCAACAAGACCATAGCCGCTCGAATATATGCTTGTTGATGGGACGTAGCATGTGCAGCCGACATAGCCACTGCTTCGGTAGTCGTCAACACCATGTTGAGTGGCGCCACGATCCTCCACCAGGAATGGATAGTAGGCTTTCTGTTTAGTTCCCAGCAATGTAACATCATCATCCAGTGGAGGGGAGACGATCAGCATAGAGAAACCATGCACATGAGCAGATGCCAAGTTGAAGCGAGGAGCCGCAAACCCATCCTTAAGCTTCCTCAGGTTACCAAAAGCCTCATCCAGAGATGCTGCCTATTGAGTAATACACAGTCGAGGCGGGAACGTGATGGAACCGTAATCACCTGGCTTCATATCAAAACAGGATAATAAATCCGCCGACGAACTACTATGCTGTAAACGGAGGCTATCGGCAATCCATATGAGTAGTTGAGGTGTGGCAACAGCATCCACGCTACCATCCGACAGTACCGTACCATCAGAAGATGGAGATGGCGTCCACGAATGACAAACCTCCTCTAAAAGTGGAACTGGATTGGTCGAAGGCCCCCATGACTGAACAGCAGCGAAAGTTGCTGGCGCCTGATGCCGTAATGCTGACACTACCGCTAGCACAATGGCATCAAAATCCACAGGTTGAGAAGTCGAAACCTCCGACCCCGGATTCCAGGATACTAGTAAAATAGGTCTCACCGCCGATCCCGTTGTAGGAGGAGCCGAAGACGCAGACGCAGACATTAAGGGATGACGAGGCACCTCACTGAGAGCAGACAGACATACAGCTGACTGAGGCACACTCCCATGAGGCAACAATGAACCCGAAGGGTCCTTGGTATTGGAAGCAAAAGCTGAGCTGAGTGGACCTAGCGCCGAACTAGACACATGGGAGGTGAGCACTGAACCCTGAGGAAGCGTCGAACCAAATGCCCCATGAATCAAACTTGAAGCCAGTGAACTATGACTAAGCGCTGAAGCACGAACTCCGTGAGTAAGCGCCGAACCAGGAGCCCCGTGAGCAAGCGTCGAACTGGGAATAGTTTGAGTAAGCGCCGAACCAAAGCCTCCATGAATAAGCGTCGAACCAAAGCCTCCAAGAATAAGCGCCGAACCGGGAGCACCGGGATTAAGCGCCGAACCAGGAGCACCGGGATTAAACGCTGAACCGGGAGCACCCGGATAAAGCGCCGAACCAGGAACACTGGTAGCAAGCGCCGAACCAAATCCACCATGAGGAAGCTCCGAACTGGAAGCGCCGAACCGGGAACACCGTGAGGAAGCACCGTATCGGGGACACCAGGAGTAAGCGCAGAACCAGAGGTAAACAAGAGCGCCGAACTGAAAGCAAGCGGCGCTCTGAATGACATCACGGGATCGGTAACAAGCGGTGCTCTACCAACAGGTAACTGTCCCGATGTAAGCGGTGCTGGACCAGCAAACGACGCACTAGAATAACGTGGTGGTCCATAACCAAACGGTACATGATAAGGGATAGATGTGGAAAAAGGCACTCTAGGGATCATTGACACACCTGTCAACCCCACCGGAGGATGAGAGAGCGCCGCACCGAAACCATCCACTGTGTCCGAAGCCATTGCCACATTTGACACAAGCCCCAAATGGGAAATAGGCGTAGAATCAACCACCGAAGTGGAAAGCGCCGCACTGCAAGGAAGCGTCACTTGAGATGTAATGCTAGGAATCACACCAAGCGACGCACGAGAAACCCCCACCTCAGGAACAGAAGTGCACTGAGGAATAAGCATCACCGAAGAGGGACGGGTTTGAAGAGAAGACGTAGACAACACGACAACCCTAGGTGGTGAAGAGTCTTCTAACGTGATGGGGCTAGACGCATGCGGCTGAAAAAGTTGCCGTAAATTTTCACTGAGGTAGGAATCCGACGCCTCCCCTAGGAAATCTTCAGTAGGGGGCGGGGACTTCGAACGTCTGACTGCAGTTTTCTTACGGCGTTCTGTCTTAGAACGTTTAGATGCAGAAGGACCCTCAGATGGTTGACGATCTCTGTCTGACACACGTCTACAAGCTACCCAGCGATATTCAGAAAACGCATCATCGTTGAGGTCGGCACAGAAAGTGCAACGTTGAGACCACTCACAACGTCCTAAGCAATCAACACATAAAGCATGTGGGTCTGCCGCCGAGAAGTTGCTATTACATTTATTGCAATGTTTACGCTTTTTAGCACTATTGCGATTTGATTTTCCCATTGTAGAAACACAATCAAACTTTCTTAGAGACAAGCACATGTCCACACGACGTAGCGACAAGAAAGAGAATGACAGGCACAGGTCACATGATCATCTGAGCGAGCTGCACACTTACGGAGATGATTGACAGGTGCTGATGTCGGAGTGGGGTCAGAGGTCGGGGTGGGTCAGAGGCCAGTAAGATTTGATTCAACTTAGCCTACAGCACATTTCCACACATAGTCGTAGAGAAAAAGAGAGGTGCATACCGTGAGATAGGATAAGTTTAAAAATTATACATATCTACAAAAACTCGCACATCATATCATACTCACTGTCACCTTGAGAAAAGTCATTTAGCATTAACAGTCAAATAGAGACAAGTCAATTAACACTGCCATATACTAGTGAGTGAGTTTAGTTGTACGCCGCACTCAGCAATATTCCAGCTTTATGGCAGCGGTCTGTAAATAATTGAGTC